ATTGGGTTATTTGTTATCTTATTGTCTAATTTTTTGAGTTCTTTGTATACTCTGGATATTAGGGCTCTATCTGAAGTGTGAGGAGTGAAAATTTGTTCCCAGGATGTAGGCTCCCTATTTACCTCTCTTATTGTTTCTCTTGCTGAGAAAAAACTTTATTAGTTTAAGTAAGTCCCATTTGTTGATTCTTGTTATTAACTGAGTTTCTTATGTAGTTCTGGAAGAATGTCATTGGTATTTTGATGAGAACTGCACTGAATTTGTATAATGTTTTTGGTAATAAGGCCATTTTGATAATATTAATTCTGCTTGTCTAAGAACCTGAGTGATCTTTCCATCCGAGGTTTTCTTTAATTTCTTTCTTCAGAGTTCTGCAGTTTTCATTGTATAGGCTTTTCACATCCTTTGTTCGATTAATTCTCAAGATTTTTTTTGAGGTTATTATGAATGGGATAATTCTCCTAATTTCTTTTTCAGAAGGTTCATTATTGGAGTATAGGGAAGTGATTGATTTTTGTATGTTGATCTGGTATCCTGCTACTTTACTAAATTTATCAGTTCTACAAGTCTTCTGGACTTTTTGGGTCTTCTAAAGATAGGATCACGTCATCAGCAAACAGTTAATTTGAGCTCTTTTAATGACCAAGGAAAGTCATTAAGCCGTAGTCAAGGACCTTGTAGTCTAATAAAGTTATGAATAATGGGGAATATAATTTGGAGACTCTAAATAAAGGAAAATAATGTTAATCATAAGGCCAATCAAATCAACATAGAATTATTGTGATTGATTTTGGTGTCTTCAGTTTTGTTGTAAACAGTTAAGTGGATCACTGTCAATAATGTCCTGCATAAGTACAACAGATACAAACCAAATGTGTGTTGAACAAATTGAGATACAGAGTCTCTTTATTTTTTTCTGTTTTTATTATGGATATTTTCATACTGCCTATAAAGATTGAGATAATCATGTAAGTACTCATCTTCTAACTTCAACCATTATCAATATATGGCCAATATTGACTCATTTTATCTATACCACTCCCAACTCTCTACTCTCATTTTTTAAAAGCAAATCCAAATAATTTTCTTGATTCATGACTCAATTTTTTTGCTACTCCATGCTTTTTCTCTCCTGATTTCCTAACCTAATCCTACCACTTGTCCCACCCTTTCTTTTGTTTTATTTATTTTATTATTTTTATTCTCCCTTTCAGCAGTGCAGCTCTGATGCTCCGACTCTGCCAGGACACAGATCCATAAGGTCAGCCCTGCACCCTGAGCAGCTGAGGGGGAAGGAGTCACACAAGCAGTGCCTCACATTCTGTCCTCTTCTGCTCTGGATAGATGGCTCCATAATGGTGGCTGTGGAGGATGGAACATCCATGAGAGCCACTCTTCTGCTGCTCTGGCTCGAAGTGTCTCTGTCCCCTTCTAGCCTCTCCCAAGCTGGGCCCACCCAACATCTCAGTTCCCCAGAAGTGGTGATCCCCTTGAAGGTGACCAGCAGAGGCAGAGGTGCAAAGACTCCGGGATGGCTTTCCTACAGCCTGCTATTTGGGGGCCAGAAACACATTGTGCACATTAAGGTCAAGAAACTATTAGTTTCTGCACATCTTCCTGTGCTCACCTACACAGAGCAGCATGCCCTCCTAGAAGATCACCCCTTCATCCCAGATGACTGTTACTATCATGGTTATGTGGAGGGGGCCCCCGAGTCTCTGGTTGTTTTCAGTACCTGTTTTGGGGGTTTTCGGGGAGTGTTACAAATAAATGACCTCACTTATGAAATTGAACCCATTAGGCACTCTGCCACATTTGAACACCTGGTTTATAGATTACACAGTAACGAGACACAATTTTCACCCACGAGCTGTGGTTTAACGGAGAAGGAAATAGCACGTCAACAACTAGAATTTGAAGTGATTGAGAGCTCGGATTGGAAACAAAATTCTACTAGGGACTGGTGGACCCACACATGGTTTCTGGAGCTGGTGGTAGTGATAGATCATGATTTCTTCGTTTACTCTCAAAGCAACTTGTCAAAGGTGCAAGAGGATGTAGTTCTTATTGTCAATTTAGTGGATTCCTTATATCAGCAGTTGAGCACTTATGTAATTTTGGTTGGGATTGAGATTTGGAATCAAAGAAATGCTTTCCCAATGGTAAACATAGAACAGGTTTTAGAAGATTTTTCTCAGTGGAAACAAGTCAGTCTTTCCCAGCTACAGCATGATGCTGCACATATTTTCATTAAAAATGCACAGATAAGTATACTTGGTCTAGCCTATGTTGCAGGAATATGTCGTCCTCCTATTGATTGTGGAGTTGATAATTTCCAAGAAGACCCCTGGTCTCTTTTTGCTAATACTGTGGCCCATGAATTAGGTCATACTTTGGGTATGTATCATGATGAGGATTTCTGTTTTTGTGGGGAAAAAGGCTGCCTTATGAGTACTTTCAGAGTACCAGCAGAGAGATTTACCAATTGCAGTTATGTTGATTTTATGAAGACCACATCAAACCAAGGATCATGTCTGCACAACCATCCAAAGCCAGGGGAAATATTTTTGCTGAAGCGCTGCGGAAATGGTGCAGTTGAAAGAGAAGAGGAATGTGATTGTGGATCCGTACGTCAGTGTGAGCAAGATCCTTGTTGTCTGTTGAACTGCACCCTGAGGCCAGGTGCTGCTTGTGCTTCTGGACTTTGTTGCAAAGACTGCAAATTCGTACCATCAGGGGAAATCTGTAGACAACAGGTCAATGAATGTGACCTCCCAGAGTGGTGTAATGGGTCATCCCATCAGTGCCCGGAAGATGGGTATGTGCAGGATGGGATCCCTTGTAGTGAAAGTGCCTACTGCTATCAAAAGAGATGCCATAACCATGACCAACAGTGTAAGGAAATTTTTGGCCAAGGTGCAAAGAGTGCATCTCAGAATTGCTACCAAAAAATCAACTCCCAAGGAAACCAGTTTGGCCACTGTGGTATAAATGGCACAGTATACCTAAAATGTAACACGTCTGACATCTTTTGTGGGAGAGTTCAGTGTGAAGATGTGGAAGACATTCCCCGTCTCCAAGATCATTATGTTTTGCAGCACACTCGCATCAATGGTGTCACCTGCTGGAGTTCTGTCCATCATTTAGGGATGGACATACCTGACATTGGGGAAGTAAAAGATGGCACTGCCTGTGGAACAGGAAAGATCTGTATCGACAAAAAGTGTGTTAGTTTGTCTGTCTTGTCACAAGACTGCCTTCCTGAGACCTGCAATATGAAGGGGATCTGTAATAACAAACATCACTGCCACTGTGGTTATGGGTGGTCCCCACCCGATTGTCTGCACAGAGGCTACGGAGGTAGTGTTGACAGTGGCCCACCCTTAGGAAAAAAAATAGCTTTATTACCAGGAATCGTGATTTTTTTATTGTCTGTTTTGATTTTTCTGTTGACTATTGGGCTTTATGGATATCCTCGAATGCATTCTAGTCCCAAGGAGACCAAAACGCACTCACCAAGTTAAGAAAAAGTTTCCAATTTGATATTCCATGCATTATTAAGTTGTAGTTTCTTGGCCACAGAAATGTTAACACATGCCTGAAAGTGAGCACATTCCTGACATTTTACCGAAAGATGCTGGGATCTCCCCTTCCATCAGATTCAGAAGCATTGTTGTTAAGTATAGGTATTCTTACCTACTGTTCATTATTTTAAGTAACAAATAAAACTTTGTCTCTAACCAGTGACCCAAATTAATCCTTTTTGTGTTTTTCCCCTGCATTTTAATTGTGCATTAGAGTTGCACATAATTATGGGATTTGTTGTTACATATTCATATATGCACCCAATATAACAATATAATTTGGCCTGCCTCTTATGACTCATGGGAGAGACAAGAGATAGACATCAGTGTGTCCAGGGGTGACATTTAGAAATTTGGGCAAATTATTTAAATATTCAGGTGCTCTTTTTAAAAATCTGAAAAGAGGGATAGTAATAATTACCCCACCTAACTCATTGTGTTTAGTTGGTAAACAACAGGGAGAAGTGAATTCTTGTTAAATATAAACAAATTGTTGTTTATTTAATAAAAGCTTCTGAACTTGTTTCCTGTGTGCTTCCTAGTCAAGTTTGCCTAATCTTACTCTTTACCTTCATTTGGCAATTTGGGTATCCTTTTGGAGAATTTGCTTTGAATATCAAAACATAAAGTCCTTGAGGGATTGTTTTAATCTGTTTTGCTCACTATCTTATCCCCAACACCTGAATTAGTGCTTAATACATAATAAATATTTGAGTGAGATAATGAGCTTAAATGGAGTATTAGGAAAAGTAAAAATAATATTTTATCTGTCACCTTAAGGACATCACTCTGGTCCTCTTTCAAAAACTACTAAACTTCAACAGTGATTATTTAAAATATGCTCATTTCAAATGTTCCCGTTTGTGCCTGATAAAATTTTCTAGCTGTTTTGTACCCAATCTCCTTAGTCTGTCTCAGTAATTTTTGAAAGCCCACCTTTTGAAAATGTAAATATAATCAGATACTCTTTTGTTAGCCAGAAAATTTCTAAATGGCACTCTAAAAATTGAGCGAAGTAACCTTTTTGATACACTTTTACGATTTATGAGCTTTGCATTCTCTAGCTGTTTTCTGTTTAGTATATAATTGTCTGCATTATTCTCTGCATATCCACCTGTACATGCAATTTCCATTTCCAAACTGTTGTTTACTATTCTCCCTGACTCCTTTTGCCCTAGAAAATTTCTGCTTTTGTCTCCATAGAGGTTAAATGTTATATTTGGGGAAATGTATTTTCTTTATGCAATGCTAAGTTTTCCATTTATGTGTTCAAGTCACTCTGTGGTTACTTTTTTATGGTTTGATGCACTCTAGGAAAGAATTTGGAGAGGGCTAACAATGTACCGGTCAAGGATAAAAAGAATTAGTAGTGAAGTCACAGAAACAGGGAAGAGTGGACTAAGAATATAATCTGATTAAATTTGGCCATAGAAAATACATCGGAGATTCACATGCTTTAAGTGTATGTGTTTGTATGGAGACAAAAGATCAGTGCTCCAATTTGTTGACTCTCTTTTTGAAATTTTTTGTTGTAAAAAAAATATTTCAATTGAGTTATAGTCAGATTTATCAGTCTGGTCTACTTATATATTTTCTGAGATTTTTATTTCTGCTTGAGATTACTTTGAAATAGTCTATGTTTCCTGGGATAATGCCAACATGATTCAGAGTTTTTATTTTAAAAAATGGCATTTTAAAAATGGCTTATTAAATAAATTGTATTAGGGCAACTGGCAACCCATTTGGAAAAGTGTGTGTTGGATTCCTGACTCATTGCTTCTGTCAAGGTAAATTTGGGAGTCAGGAATCCAACACACACTTTTCCAAATGGGTTGCCAGTTGCCCTAATACAATTTATTTAATAAGCCATTTTTCACAGATTTACCGTAATCCATTGGAATTTACTGATAATTTATTGGAGTGAATCATTTTACTTGTAAACTTTTATAAGGTGCAGCACATTTTGCTTCTGTGTAGTTATTTTATATTGGTTAATTCCCCGCTAGATCAGTCAATTATATCAAGGTTGTTGTGTAGAATTAACCTCCTGTGACAAATCTAGGGTCTTACCTATTGTTTTAATTTGGATTCCTCAAAAAGTCGACCCAGAGACAAGAATTTAGGTAGACTTAGTTTATTTGGAAATCACAAAAAATAGGTTAATGGTCAAGTTTCCTCTCTGAGCTACTGGGGTCATTCTTTGTGGACAGACTCTCTGGGAATTCATGTGAAACACTGAAATATCACTTCATGGTTCTGGAGAAAAATATCAGGAAGAAAAGACATGAATTGTCAGCATTTGAAGTGGGAAAGTATCAGAGCATGGAAATTACCTGCTGTGGGTGCATGTAAACTCAGGTGGGACCAGGGGATATAGGATGGGACATCAGCATCTATTGCATCCAGATTCCCCAGAAGGCAGGTACTGAGTCAAGGATTAAATTTAAATTCTTTATTTGGGAAATGCAGGGTAAAAGTAAAAGTAGAGAAATGAGAGTAAAGTAAAGGTGTTTGAGGTTGGAAAGAACAGTGCAGCAAATGCTGGCAGTGCCCATTTATATTCTTTTAGACTCAACCTTGAGATTGTTTTATAGTGCTGGTGACAATTCCTATACATACTAATGGCTTTCTACTTGACAGTAGAGTATTCATAGAGCAGGAATTGGAAATATGAGAATTATAAAATTAGATGGTTAAGAAGCTATGAAGAAAGATGACAATAGGTTCAGAACAATTAACTTCCAACTTGGGGAATGGTATGAAAGTACTGAGACCTCTATGACAGTATTTAAAGGGAATTCTCCTTATAGTCAGAGGAAAGGCTGAAAATAATACCCAAGATGTGCCAGAGAATTATAAATATTATTAAATTTAGATCTCTGATTTCCCTTGTAATAAACAGAGATCCTACTAGGAAAGAAATGTTACTCTGATACCTTGGATAGGGGAAGTTGAGTGGATACATTTGAAAAAACTTCAATCCCAAGATTCTCATGAGTGTTCTAGCCAACACAACTTACTCTTCACCCCTTGATAGAAGAGAGCAGTCTTATTTCCTGCATACCTTGCTTTGCTTATCCTCTGGAAGACCCAATGTACCTCCCCCTCACTACATCTAAACCAATAATTGGTATCAGTGAGTATGAGAGGATCGGGATCATTGATCAAAAGAGCTTTGGGAGCTGGTTAATATATACCAACAGGAGGCAGGAAAACATATATATAAATGGATTCTGATGCAGGAAAAAATGGAATATAAGATTATTCAAGAGAAAGCTTTTTAAATAAGGGGTAATTTAGGACTTAACCTCTTTACAAAGATGCCCAGAGCTTATCTTAACATGCTTTTGAAATTTTTGCATCTTTGAGGCTTAGATATGTTAATAGATTATAATCATGGAGGTGAAGTTGCTAGAACTGTTTTGGCCCAAATGTGACAGAGGTCAGAATATTCAGAGAGGAAGGCATTTTAGAATGAATTTATTACAAAAGACTAGAGAAAGGACCACTGACTCTCTTAATGGAGGTCCTAGGGGCCACTGTTGTAAGCATTAAGAAATGAAGTAGGAAGATGGGTTCAGGTGTCATTAGGAATCTTACATCACTGTCTTTATGGGATTTATGAAAGGACATGGTGTAACAGAAGTAGGCTTCCTAATATCAGTGGAGGTGATAACATTCCAGGATAGTAGGAATAAAGATAGTAATCCTTAACAAAAACAAGATGGGCATAATTACCATAATCGGCAACAAGACAGGAAAAGCCAACACTAGGCCCTGACATAAACGTATTTGTGGTCATGACTTAAAAATTTTGGTGTTCCCAGTGTTGAGACAGATGGCCAGACAATGAGCGCTTTTTTTTTTTTTTTTTTGGTCTTGTAACCAAAATAGTTAAAAAGCTTATGATCAGTAGACTGATGCTACTTTCTGCCATGGGCGTCTCTTGCCCATTTTTTTTTTTTTAGACTGAGATCAATCACTGACCTATTGCTTATAAGATTTTGAATATTTTCCCCTTAAAGAAATGATAAGTGTTTGAGGATTTATCATAATAAATATTTGAGGATTTAAAAAGAGCCACCAGTAATTAATCATGGGGTCTCTGTTCTGATGACCTCATATAATCCTAATCACTTCTTAAAGGACCTACCTCTAAATACCATAGTTGGATTAAATTTCTTCCTTCTCAGTATCTAACAATATGGATTAAATTTCAACATGAAACCAGGCTTGGTGGATATGCCTTTAATCCAGCAGCTTGAGAGGTTGAGGCAAGAAGATTGTGAGGTCAAAACCCGCCACAGCAGCTTAGCAAAGCCCTAAGCAATTTGGTGAGATCTTGTCCCTAAATTTAACAATAATAATAATAATAATAATAATAATAAATGGGTGGTGATGTAGCTCCGTGGTTGAGTGCTCCTGGGTTCAATCCCTGGTACCAAATAAATAAATTTATTTTAATATGGTTTTGGGGAGGACAAGCCACATTCAAACTTTAGCATTTGGTTCTTGCCCCACCCTCAAATTCATTCATGTCCTTCTCACATGAAAAGTACATTGTTCAATCCAACAGTCCCAAAGTCTAAATTTATTTTAGCATTAATTCCAGACTCCAAAATGCAGAGTTTCATTTGAGACTCAAGGCAAACTCCTCTGGCACTGAGCCTATAAAATCAAAGTTATCTACTTCCAATTATCTGTTTCTAATATACGATGGTGGAACAGGCATAAGGTATACATTCCCATTTCAAAAGAAAGGAATGGGCAAGTATGAAAGAGAACAGACCAAAGCAAGATCCAAACCAGACATTAATAATTTATAATGTGTGGGGTTTTTTCTGATAAAATCTTAAGGGTCCATAATTAGGCTTCCTGTGCACAAATGGGAGATGGGCCATAAAGGCCTTGGGCATCCCTGTCCCCATGGCTTTGCTGCCTGCATTCCACACAGCTGTTCTGTGGCATGTGCCTATGGCCTTCCAAGGTTGAGGTGGGGTGCTTTTGAATACTCTACCTTCCTGGGGTCTCAAGAATGGTAGTCCTACTCTAACATGGCTCCGCTAGGCATTCTAATGGAGAACTTCTATGACAGATTTGTCCATATATTGTGTCTCTGCATGGCTTCCCAGTCTTTCCTTTGAAATCTCATTGGAAATTGTC